TCAACAGCCATGTGTGCCATTCAGCCAGAAGTCTCTCTCTCTCTCTCTCTCTCTCTCTCTCTCTCTCTCTCTCTCTTTTTCCCCCCCCCCCCCCCCCCCCCCTCTTTCGAATGAATATGGACCCGAGGGGCAGATGGCTACCGCATTAATGGCGGTACCAACCCTTAATAGGTAGGTACTGGTGGGTTAAAGGGCGGTGTGAAAGATCTTTTCAAAAATGAAATGTTCAAACTACAAGACACAAACCCTTCAGCTTTATGACTATGGCAGATATTGAATTTTGAGGGAAAAAAAGGAAAAAAGGAAAAGGAAGAAAAAAAGGATGGCAGACAGGCGAGGCCACAACGTTTTCTTTTATATAAGTCTCTTTCTTTTTTCTTTTTCTTGTTCTTCTTTTTCTTTATCTTGTTCTTCTTTTTCTCTTGCCCCCGCAGCTTTCCATTTTTGCGCTTACCATGCAGCTTCCCATTTCCTGTAATGGAATAATTCTGGAAAGTGGGCCCACACTTTCATCTTCCCCCGAATAAAAGGCAAGGTCGCTCCATCTTTGGGGAACGACGATAGCCAAAGTGTTTTTCTCTCTTCAAAAACAGACAGCGATTTTTATTTGGAGGATAAAATATGAAAACTTTAAGATAAGGGGGAACCTTGTGTCTCCAGGAGGAAAAGAAAAAGGGGCATCATTTTTCTTCAGGGGGAGGGAAAAGGGCCATGATTTGTCTTCAGGGGAAAGGAAAAAGGGGGGACATGGTTTGTCTCCAGGCGAGCAGGAAAAAGTGGCATAATCTGCCTCCAGGGGGGAGGAAATTTGGGGGGGGGGGGGGGGTTCTGCAGGAAGAAAGGTAAGGAAATTAATTTATGTCCGAGGTGAGATGGGCAAGGATTCTAACTTGTAACACTTGTCATCGGATGTGCAGGGCGAGGATGCACTACCTTCTTCCTCGGAATACAGCGTACGGTCATTATAGCTGTATTTAGACTGAAAGATACCCCAAATACAGCTATAATTACCGTTCGTTGTACTCAGCGGAAGAAGGTAGGAGCACAGAGCAAGCTTTGGATTTGAGCCAATCTGCTAGCTATAATTACCGTACGTTGTACTTGGGCGAAAATGCACTCAGTAACGTTTGAATTTGAGCCAATCTGCGACCTCCTCCCCCTTGTGCGACCTTGCAACCTCCTCGTTCTCCTCCGCGCCCCCCTTCTCCCGCTCGCACGAACTCCTCCCCCTAGCACGACCCATAGATAGATAGATAGATAGAGAGAGAGAGAGAGAGAGAGAGAGAGAGAGAGAGAGAGAGAGAGAGAGAGAGAGAGAGAGAGAGAGAGAGAGAG